CAGATGATTTAGGAGGATGTAATTAACTGAATTCCCTTATTTCCATTCCATTTCACAGGGCTGCCATGTGGAAAAAAGATTAGATTTGTTGTACTGGGCATTAAAGGGCAGAACTAGGAACAAGGGTTGGAAGTTGCAAAGAAGCAAATTTAGGCTGAATTTCAGAAAAAATTTTCCCAACACTTAGAGCTGTGCCAAAGTGGAATCAGTTGCCTCAGAAGTCGGTGGATTGCTCCTTACTGAAGGTCTTCAATCAAAAGCCAGTTGACCACCTGACAGGTCTTTAAGGTGCAGAGACTTCTTGTTCAGGTACAGGTAGAACTATTACAACTCAGCAGTCATTTATTCCAACTCATACATGAAAGAAATCCCCACCATAACTTACTGAAAAGCTGCAATCCAGGCTCTCTTTGAAGACTTCCAAAGAGGAAAAATCACATCTCTAGGAACCCCATTCCGTTTTTGGGAAGCTCAAATTGTCAGGTTTTCCCTGGCACCAAACCCAAGTATGTCTCTATGTAACTTCTACCCATTGCTCCTGGCTATGACTCTGGGGCCAAACAGAACAAATTTAACCCTTCCTCCACATGACAGCCCTTGAAATGTTTGAACACAACTATCCTTGAGTCCTCTTCCAGGCTAAACATACTTAATTCCTTTATCTGATCCTCATATGACATAGGTTGAAGGCCTTTCACCCTTCCATTTGCCTTCCTCTGGACCCTCTCCAGCAAACCTGCTACTTGCTCTTGTCTGATATAATTTGATTACTTCACCTCACTAGATATCCTCATACATAAAATGAGGAGATTGGTATAGATGGTCTCTCAAGTTCCTTCCTCTAGAATTTATGATCATAGAGTAATGAGAGATGGAGCTAGATAGGTTGCAGCAAAATCTCCAAAGGTCTTGAGTCATCATGGTACAGAGGAAAAAGCACGGCATCTGCCTCCAAGGTCAAATTCCAGCTTCACCACTCAACATCTCTGTGACCTTGGGCAACTCACTTAACATCTCTTGTCCTCAGTTTCCACCTCTGTAAAACGAGCTTAGACTAGATAACCTCTAAGGTCCTTTTCAGGTCTAAATATGTTAACTTATGAATCTAAGTAAAGTAGGATGAATTTTATCATACAGATAATGAATAACCCATAAAGATTTTTGAGTGGAGGTGAAAACAATGTTAGGGGCTTAATATGTAGTTTCAAAACTTCAAATATGTAGTAAAAGGAGAGCAAAAGAATTAATTTGTTAATGGTTGAATGTCAGGCATCAGTAAAAAGAAATTTGGAGACAGATGACCTTCCCAGTGACCCTCAAATCATACAAGGGAGGAAATAGCCTATTCTGTTTGAGCAGTCTTTTGTGGACAAGTAAAATTTTTGCATTCCTGAAGACTTGTAGCCCCCATGCTATGCTATTTATATACTTCCTCCCCACCCTCTGAAAAAACTAAATAGTTTATTGTAAAACTGCATGTTTCAGCATTTACACAATTTCCTCATAAATCAGCCTTTTAATCAGCTAAGTGGCTGTCCTCAGAATGTCCCTGATTTATTGATATCTTTTGGATCCTGAGCCAGAAACCCAGTGAATAAATGGTTTTAGTGCTGATGCAGATAGCAAAAATTAACATAATGATGACAGAAAAGAGCACAGTCAGTGTGCGTGCATCAAACATCTGAGAGGCTTACATGAGAGATATCCAAAAATGCAATGGGCTGCCTGTGAGGTCGAGTGAGGGTTCCTCCTCTTTGGAGCTCTGCAAGCAAAGGCTGGGTGGCCACTTATAAGGAATGCTGCAGAGGGGAGTCTAGCTCAGGTATGAGTTGAATTAAATTACTTCTGAGGTCCCTTCCAATTCTGAGGTTCCTTGGGAATGTAGTAAGGTGTCTTAAAGGTGTAGCCCTTTCCTACATAGGCAGACTCTATAGTTTAAGAATATATTCACTTGTTCATCAACTATCAAAGGGGTCAAGGTGCCCTCTCAAGCTTGGCAGAACCACCTAGTTAGTGTTGGTTTTCTTGAGAAGAAGGGTCTTCAGGCAGCCACTAGAAATTAGAAACCTAGAGACCCAATGCTGGAGATTTTAACCTAGCCACTGACTACATAATCAGGGATCTCAGGAAAGTTGTCCTGCCCTCTCTGGCCACAAAATTCCTCACTTGGATAACAATAATATTAATAGCTAGCATTTACAGAGCACTTCATTTTGTGAAGCACATTGTGTATCTTGTCTCATTTGATAATCACAACCACCTCAGATGAAGGATTATCATCCTTATTTTACAGATGAGGAACCTATGGCCGAGAAGTTTAGTTGCCCAGGGTTACACAAATAGTCTTTAAGACAGGATTCAGACTCAGATTTTCCTAACTCCAAGCCCAGCATAGCTGCTACTTAGAGCTACTGTGAGAACCTCCACAAAACCCTTGGATTTGCTAGGAGGAATGTGTTCTGAGTACAAGAAATGTATAGCAGGATCAAATAAGATAATACATGTTAGGCACTACATAAATGTCTCTAGCATTTTATAGCAGCCTACTCATTGTCTGTTTTGCATATCTCTGTACCTTTTGTAATGTGATTGTTTCCAGGTGTACTCCACTGGAAAAACTGAGCATCCAACATATGGAAAGAGGAACAAAAACCATCTGGCAGAGTGCCCACATGGCCAAGTCTAGTTTTAAAATGCAAATATAGAAATGGGATTAGCACTGCCTTCTCTAAACAGACTCATTTTCCTAGTGTTACTGTTCTTTTCTGGCAGTGAAGTTAGTGTACTGTGGAAGGAACACTGAGGGTCCAGAAACTTAGATGCTGGAGGTAGTGTTTCTATGGAATAAAAATACCTTTTAAATGAAACCGGCATTGCATATTAATGTGATATTTTGCTCAGATTCAGTTAAAATTAAAACATAGGTAGTACTCGATTTATGAACTCTCTCAACAATTACAATAAAGTCTCTGAATTCAGGATGCAATTTCCCATAGAAACAATGTTAACAATTGGAGCACAGATTCCCAAACTAACTCAAAGACTGTTTCCCACCTGCCTCCTGGTTTCTCTGGCTTCCTTCAGTTCCACCTAAAATCCCACCTTCTGCAAGAAGCCTTTCCAAGTCCTTAATCTTAGTGCCTTCCCTCTGAGACTAACTCCAATATATCCTGCTTATATCTTGTTTGTACATAGTTGTTTGCCTGTTCTCTTGTTCCTTTAAAACTGTGAGCTCCTCGAGAATAGGGCCTGGTTTTTTGCCTTACTTTGAATCCTTAGAGCTTAGCACAGTGCCTGACACATAACAAATGTTTAATCAATGCTTGTTGATTGGACTTAGCTTGAAATCAAGTACTGTAGTTGTAAATTAGTAGTAAAAGTATTGTTATAGCTATACCCAAATGCCATTTCTAAAGTTGTTTTGCTATGGCAAAATGTATTCTAAATTCTGACTTATGCTGACAAAAATACATCTTCCCTCCCCTGTGATGGCTATCCCAAAAGTAATGTTGGGGAAAGAAAGGAAGAAACCAGGGAGGAAATTCCTGGCTGTCAATAAAATGAGCGGTCTCTGTTGGCATAAGAACAGGCACCGATTTAAATCTACAAAAGAGAAGTCACCTTTGTAGGTCACACATTCCCCAGGTACTCTGAACTGAGAAACAAACAAAAATTACTCCCTTGGAAGGGTTTCTTGCTTTCCCTCCCAAATCTCCAGACCCAAATTCAAAGACTGGCCATTGCTATCTGGATCATTTGGACATCATGTTTCCTTACATTGGTGGGGGGTATATGTCTGTGTGTGTGTGTGTGTGTGTGTGTATCTGTGTGTGTGTGTGTGTGTGTGTGTGTCTCTGCCTTTCTTTGCATCCCCAGCACTTAGCAGAGGTCCTGGAACATAGTAAATACTTAATGAATGCTTGCTGACTTAACTTTTTTTTCATCACTTCTTCCTCCCTACAAATTTGCTGTTTTTCAAAATTAACAGCTTGTTTTCACATGGATTTTTCCCACCCAAGAATTATCCTATAGTGATTCCATATGATATGCCTCAAGGAATACTAAAATGTCAGATCAATCAAAAATCCAGATGACCCAAAGGGTGCAGTGTGCTGTTATCACATTAACAAGATGAATTACATGTGAGAAGTGGCATAAAAATCTTTATCATAACCAGAAAGATGAGCCACAAATGTAAGTTAAGTTATCCTTATAAAAGTTATCCTTATGAATGGTGGGATAGCTTGTGTATTGGATTTGTATCCATAAAATATTAATAGTAACCAACAAAGGCCTCTAGCATATCGGGTAAAAACAGGGACAAGAATAGTATGGGATGATAAGGAATGGATAGGATACAACCTGTACCAGAAAAGAATATACTCATATAGAAGAGATCCCAGATTCATCAAAGTGGCAAAATAAAAAACCTGAGAATTAATGATCACATCCTTAGAGAAATCATGTAAACCATACTGTGGCAAATTAAAACAGCAATCTGCGTTGGTTACCAAGAACATTTAATGAAATATTGTAATTGAGACACCATTACATTTTGAAAATTAACTGAAAAACCATTTTCCATAACTCAAAATATTAAAAATCTTTTAATTTCTCCCAAATAATCTCCAAATCAATTCTGATTTTTCTTGTTACATGAATAGTACTTCTATTTAAATATAGCTCACTTTATAAAGTAGATGTATTCTTGGGAGGGCAGAGGACGGAGTGCAAAAATAAAATTTTAGAAATTGTATTATATTTTAAATGTAGCAGGGGATCATGCTATCCTAAAGGAATCCAACAATGAATTATTTTGTGGAATAAAGCATTATTTTATAATGTAATTTGTTGTTGTTCAGTCATGTCCAACTCTTTGTGATCCCACAGACCGTAGTGTCCATAGGGTTTTCTTGGCAAAGATACTGGAGTGGTTTGCCATTTCCTTCTCCAGTGGATTAAGGCAAACAGAGGTTAAGTGACTTGCCCACAGTCATACAGCTAGGAAGTGTCTGAGGTCAGTTTTGAATCCAGGTCTTCCTGACTCCAGGCCCAGAGCTCTATCCACCAAGCCATCTCACTGCCTCCTATAATGTAAATACTTGCCCCTTAATTTGTTTATTTTAAACATTAAAGTTTTTGCATATTGGGTTTGCTTAAAGTGGAACACACAGTAGTTGGTTTTATGATAATTGTTAAGTTAACAGTAATAGTACACATATCTTTCATAAATAAAAAAAAAACTTATAGCACATTATAAATATTTGGTAATGAGTCTTAACCTCTGTTTTTACAACAGTAAAAGAGAGCCAGGCTTCCCTGAATCAATAAAGTGTCTAATTCAGTAAATGGTATGGTCAGGATCTATCAACTATATCCCATATATTACCCTTTCCAATCAAGTGCATTCATTTACCTACCTTACTTGTGGGCACTAGATCACTCCATCCTAGGAGTAGATAATTTCTTTGCAAGAAATGTATAAGAAGCCGCTGGATAAGGGAGAAATTGGACTAGTTTGGACCGCCCGACTGGACCTGACCTCAGCTCTAATCTTGACCTCTAATTTACAGCTTGCTCCTCAGTTGCTTCCAATAAACATCCTTGACTCTTCATTTCTAGCCTCATGCCAACTCTCTCAGATCCAACTCCCTGCCACCTACAATCCTGACACTGATGGGTTTTGATCATCATATGTATTGTCATGTTCTGAACACTCAATTCTGCTATGTATTGTATGTCATTTCTATTTTTTTTAGAAAACGTTTTCTATTTCTTATACAAGTCTATACAACATATACAGACATTGACACAATGTTCACATTTGGACAAATTTGTTGATATTTCAGAGTGTTGCTTCCAACAGTGAGTGAGTTTCCATTTACACCGAAGGGCGACACCTAGTTTATCTGGTGGTTATCCAGAGTCCATTTGCACCACAGTTTCTTTGGCTACATGGCTGTAGGGCTTACTTCCTGGCTGGTCTCTTCAATCTTTAGTCCCAGATTATCAAACCCAAAGCTGGTCAGTTGCGGCACGTTGCTTTCAGGTGGCTCCGCATTTCGAGTAGGGATAGAACAATATAAGATGAAGCCCACCATGATGACACTGAAGGAGAGAATGTAGAGCCCTGAAAACTGAGAGGAAGAAGGAGACATTAGGTTTCTGACCATGCTCATTGTCAACAATCATGGAGGTCACTGTGACACTGAGGATAAAGCACTGCACATAAAGGTAGAAGATCCAAGTTCAAATTTTACTTCAAACATTTACTAGCTGGGTGACACTGGACACATTAGGTTAAGACCTATTTTTGTCTCAGATTCCTAATCTAAACAATGGAGTTAATAAGAACACCATCCTATAGGGTGGTTGTGAAGATGAAAATAAGGTGATATGTGTGAAAAATGCTTTGCAAAACTTAAATGGGTATACAATTGTAACTTACTAAACACACTTTTCCACGTGGCCTTTTGCCAAAGTATCACTTCATCCAAACTTTTCTTTTAACACTTTCCGATTTGCAGAGCACTTTAGTTCTATGATTTCACACGAGTTTCATAATATTCTATGAGGTGAGTAGTGCAAGTGTTATTATCCCCATTTTACAGATTAGGAAACTGAGGATTAGACAGATGAACTGACTGGCCTACGTCACACAGTTCTTAAGTAGCATGAGGCAGGAATTTAACCCAGGTCTCTCTTGGCTTCAAATCTAGTACTTTTCCCACTATACTCACCTGCCTAACATGACACAGAACATCCTAGTGTTCACTGATGAACCCATAAGCTACAGGAACAGTATGTGGCAAATTTACTATGCATTTTTATGTATCAGAGATTTAGACCTGAAAGGGTTCAAAGGTCACTTTGTCCACTCCCCTCGATTTACAGACAAGGAAATTGAGGCCCAGAAAGGTTAAATGAGCTGCTGAAGGTCAAATAGATCATAAGTGGCAAAGCTGGGATGTGAACTCAAGTCCTCTGACTTCAGAATCCAGAACTTTTTCCTGTGCACCCCACTGCCTACATAGTATCTAACCTGAAGTAGAAATGCTACATTCTCGGAAACAGTCTACCCCAATACAGAAACAACCATGTTTGTAAAGAGATGACCCTTTAAAACAGAACAAAGGCAATATCAGCATAAGCCCCAAGAAATCAAGCCCAGTTCAACTCTAGGTTCCTAAGGTGGCTTGGGGTGGACAGAACATAGCGTCTTTTGATATTTTATGAGATGGTAGATTCTGAGCCTTATTTGGTCTCTTTAAATGGTCCAATATTTGTTTGTTTTTTCACTAGTCCCCCCCTTAAAAAAAAAACAAAAACAAAAGGCAGATGTACGAAAGTGCCCAGCAATAAAGAAAATTATCAATGTCAACAATTAATAATTATTGAACACTGGGAGACTTGTGGTTTTTGTTCAGTCATTTCCGTCATGTCCAACTCTTTGTGACCTCATTTGGGGTTTTCTTGGCAAAGATACTACAGTGATTTGTCATTTCCTTTTCCAGCTCATTTTACAGATAAGGAAACTGAGGCAAACAAGTGAATTGCCCAGGGTTACACAGCTAGTAAGTGCCTGAGGCCAATTTCAATTCAGTTCTTCCTGACTTCAAGCCAGCATTCTATCCACTGTGCCATCTAGCTGCCGTAAAGAGTCGTTTACCTATGTCTTAATTTTTTTTTCTTATACATTCCCCTCTATCTTTCTCTACCATGTTTTTAATGCATATAGAAGCATAATTATTTCAAGTCTGTGCTTGCATATGTCCATTTTGGGCATTTCTTTCCAAAGCTCTTTTTCTTCCGTTTTTCCCACTTTCCTTGGCTCTATTTCTCTGTTGAGGATTTGTACTCATCAAATGTTACAATTTACTCCACCTAGTGACTGTCTTTGTAATAGGTCTCTTGCAATGGATTTCCAAAGGAGAATCAGAATCAGAAAAACTACAGGCCTTCCTATGGCTGCTAAAACTACCAACTTGTTTTTTCATTATTATCAACATTGAAGTGTCTTTCTTCTTTGGAATAAAGTGTAGACATTCCCAGTATTTCTCCCCCAACTATTTCTTCTCTACCATTAAAACAAACAGGTGTTTATGAGAAGGCACTTTCCCCCATTCCTTGCAGAGGTAGAAGACTATGGGTGTGGAACACTGTATACACAGGCTTTTTCAATATGTTGGCTAGGTTTATCAAATTAATTTTTTTTCTCTTTTTTATAAAGTATGCCTCTAAAGGACTAGGAAGAGGAAGGAGACATTGAGGTGATGTAAAAACAAAAGATAATCAAAATTGACATAGAAATAGAAAGCTGGAGAGAGTGGCACAGTATGGATAGGTGTAGATGAAGGGCAATCCATATGAGATAATAAATTCACTGGAGTATTGGAGAATAATTTTAAAATTGCTGCACAAGTCTAGAAGCATGTGTTTCCCTCAAGAATGTTTTAAAACAGGGGTTGGCAAAATAATACTTGGGCCATATCCAGCCTGCTACCTGTTTTTGTTCAGCTGGTGACCTAAGAATGTATTTTACATTTTTAAATATGATAAAACTTTATTTAAAAATATAAAAACCCTCTTAGCTTATGTTGTTGCTGTTCAGTCACTTCAGTCTTGTCTGACTTTGTGACCTCATTTGGAGTTTTCTTGCAAAGATACTGGAGTAGTTTGCCATTTCTTTCTCCAGCTCATTTTACAGATGAGGAAACTGAGGCAAACTGGGTTGAGTGACTTGCTCATGGTCACACAACTAGTAAGTGTCTGAGGCCAGAGTTGAATTCAGGAAAATGAGCCTTTCTGACTCCAGGCCTGGCACTCTATCTACTGTACCACCTAGCTGCCCTCTTAGCTCATAAGCTATACAAAAACAGGCAGTATTTGCCAAAACCTGTTTTAAAACAAAGACAAAATTTTTCTCTGTTTCACTTCTGTTTAGACAGAAAAGAGAAAGTACTCTCCTAGTCATATGAAAAAGTGCTGTGATCTGTTCAGGAAACTGATCCCAAGTCCAACATGGAAGCGTGACGGAGCTGTGGGAGGTGGGCTTCAATTATCTGGCCACCTACCAGAACTCTCTCTGATGAAGCCAGAGCTGATAAGACCTTCGTGACTTGCCTTGAGAATTTCAACAAGGAAAAATTATATTCTGCATCTGATTCTCAGCACCAGATAGGCACTGGTCATTGAGATGGAAATGATGAAAACTTTGTGAGGAAGTGATCATTCCAGCTTAGTTTGTGACGCAAGGAGAGGAAAGTTAGAAACAAACCTAGGTCTTTGGAAAGGGAATTCCAAAGTGTTCAGAGGAAGGATAGTAGGATTCCATGGATTAAAATGCTATAGAGCAAGTAAGCTGAGGACAGATAGGAAAGAAACTCTTAAGAAATTATTAAGACATAAAGAGAAACAATTATAATGAAGAAGAGACCCACATGAGTGTATAGGTATCTCATTAACCAACTTAGATTTTTTTTTTAAAGAATGTTCAGAAAAATGGAAGCAAGGACGAGGAATAGAGGTGAGTGTAGGATCTGTGATTCATTGGTTTAGGGAACTTATAGATGAGGAAATTCCCATTATAATTGGAAATTGGCACCTTCTCTGCAATGTCCAGTAAGGTCTTACTTATTGAAGATTTGCCTAGAGGACTGATAAATTAAATGACTTGCCCAGGGTCACACCAGTATGTGTCAAAGACAGGATTTGAACCCAGGTCCAAGGCTGGGCGTGACATCGCCTAAGAATAGTAGGTAAACTTCCAAATGAGCTGAGGGTAGTTTGAAAAGCTAAAGATAAGAAAAAGGTTTGGTTTTCTTTTAATTTATATTAGGAAAAAAGAAGAGGGCTGAAAAAAAAACCAGAAATACTATTTGGGATAAAAGAGACTCTGGATAATGACCACAAAAAAGAAGAAAGAGAGTTTTACTTCCTATTTTGCTTCTTTTTTTCCTGCCAAGGAGGATGAACTTTGGACTAGAAATGACAGGGGAAAAAATGGCCCAAGGTAAGTAAGGAGATAGTAAGAAAGTGCCTACATGTTCTGTATGAGTTCAAGCCACCTGGCCCAAAAGAACTAAAACTTCAGGTCCTAAAAGAAATGGCCAATGTGATTGCTGACTGAGCCACTATGGGATCTTCAAAAGGTCATGAAGAAGAAGGGGCATGAAAGGTAGAGCAGGACTGAAGAAATTTTCCTTATTTTTTTAAAAGGTAAGAGAATGAAGTCTTCCAACCAGAGGCCAGTGAGCTTCCTGGCAAAATTCTGCAACATGACTGAAATGATGGTTTGTAAATGTGTAGAAAGAAAATAATATAAACAAAGAGCCTACCTAGCTTCCTCAATCAATTAATCAATAGACATTTATTAAATGCTTGTGCGCCAGACACTATTTTTTAAAAACAGATTTACAAGACAAATATATCAGTGTAATTCTATAGCTATGGCTAACCTAACTTTTAGCACTTCATTAAGTAAACCCTCTTACACCATTCTGATGGAAAATATAGCTAGACATGGACCAGACCATAGGACAATTAGATGGATTCAGTACTAGTCAATGACCTCACTCAAAAAGTCAACATTACTAGTATCAACTTGGAAGAAGTCTCCAGTGCAGTGCCACAGGAATCTCTGATTGATCTTGTGTCATTTAATATTTATATCAATGATTTAAGTAACAGCATAGATCTAACGCTTATCACATTTCTGGACCATAAAGCTGGGAGAAATAGCTGACACATTGGCTAAGGAAGTCAGTATTCAGAAAGATCTTGATAGGCTAGAATGCTGAGCCAAACTGAATAAGATGAAATGAACGGGGAGAAATGAAGGGAAATATGATTGAAATCAAACAAATAATGACAATATAAAGTGAACAGACTGGTTCACCCGATCCTGGAATATGAAAACTTCAGAATGCCTCTTCTACTGAACATGGGTTATCCCAAAATAATTGGTCTCTTATATAACTGGACTTATACAAAATAGATCTTTTTCATTTTTTCAGTCAGCAAATCTCAGTTACCCAAAATGCAGACGTAACTCCCTAAGGCAGTTAAAACACCTCCACAGGACTTGTTTTGAATCCTAATTATCCAATTTTGGCAATGGAAATTTTACAGCACCACT